AATAAAAACTATATTAGTATCTCAATGATACTAAAATAACCCTGTTAAATATTTCTTACATGTGATGGAGAAGTATTTTGCATTATATAGCCAAAATTTACTTTATGCCTCATTTGCCAATTTCAAGTAAATTGAGAAAGTTTATCAGCTCTAAATATTTCTTGCATTTCTTGGAAAATATTACATATTGTAATATATATATATATATATATATATATATATATATAACATGATAAAAGATGCATGTGTCAGACTTTAGTGATTTAACTCATTAACTTTAGTGATTTAACTCATGCATATGTTGCAGTTCCTAATAAAATCACTGGCAATATGGCAATCGGTACATTACTTTTGGGTCCTGTGTGTGTGTCTGTATCTAAAATAACACTCAAAAGTGAAAGAATATGTTGTTGTGTTTGTGATCTCTGCAGGTGTTTCGGGGAGGATGTGTGTATTTCTGTCCCTGATATTGAGGCAGTTGTCATGGTAATGCAGCCTAGTGAACCACGCATCATAATCACTGGGGCGGACCACCTGACAGTCCCCGCCTCTGGCCTTGCCCTCGGCCTATCCCTGTTCAGAGATCTGCATATCATCAGCACAGTTACAAAAAGCGCCGAACAGACAAACACAGGTACAGAGAATTAGTTCTAGAATCACCTTACTTCTCTTAACAGAATAATTTGTTCAAATGAAAAATCTGTCATTATTTACTCACCTTCATATCATTATAAACTTAAAATTGAATTTACATATTGTAGTGCTCAAACCTGTCTTGACCCACCATATTGAATATACAGGAATGAGAATGTGTTTTATCATCATTTTTGGAGCTTGACAGGATCCATTCTATGCCAAAGTGTAGAAAGCATCCTCCTCAACTTTTCCTTGTTAGTTGAACAAAAGAGAGAAAGCCAAAGACATGAGGGAGAGTAAATGATGACAGATTTGTCCTTTTTGGCTGAAGTATTTCTGCAACAAAAACACTCCTGATGAAAACAACCCACAAAGAAAGTCCCCAAACGCTGCACAGAGCACATTATTCACTGACAAACCACAGGTGTAATGCTGTTTTGGTGGCAAACAACAGTAAATGCAAAAAAACATGTTAATAAATCATAAAAGACAGATGCTCACTAAACCCTCCACCCTCACAACACAACACAACACTACACAGAATCTGAAACGCCTCTCCCTCCTTTATCCTGAGGGCTTATATGCTTACTTTAAATGGGACAAATCATGTTAAAGGGGTCATATGATGTTGCTAAAAAGAACATTATTTTGTGTATTTGGTGAAATGTGTTTATGCGGTTTAAGGTTAAAAAAACACATTATTTTCCACATACTGTACATTATTGTTTCTCCTCTATGCCCCGCGCATTAAATTGATCAAAAGTGAAAGTAAAGACATTTATAATGTTACGAATGTTACAAAACATTTCCCTTTGAAATAAATGCTGTTCTTTTGAACTTTTTATTCATCAAAGAATCCTGAAAACAAAAATGTATCATGGTTTCCAAAAAAGCAAAATAGCAGAACAACTGTTTTCAACATTGATAATAATCAGAAATGTTTCTTGAGCAGCAAATCAGCATATTAGAATGATTTCTGAAGGATCATATGACACTGAAGACTGGAGTAATGATGCTGAAAATTCAGCTGCGCATCACAGGAATAAATGACATTTCAAAATATGTTTAAATAAAAAAAAGTTATTTGAAATTGTAATAATATATTTTACAATATACTTTGTTTACTGCATTTTTTTATCAAATCAATGAAGACTTGGTGAGCAGAAGAGTCTTTTTTTCAAACAATTCTAACCTTAGACAGTCAGGCTACTTAGCTTACTGTAATATTGTTGATAATAGCTAAAAAAAAATTATTTCCTTGAAATGGAAAGCAGACACTGATGTACCAATTGGATTGAGGTTGTCAGAGGTTTGCAGCTGTATACCTTTAGAGAAGATCACACACCTACTCAAGGGCAGAGGTGAATTATTTTATAAAATTTGGGAAACCTTTTTGAATTATATAAAAACAGTGCCAAATGATTTGATCTGGCAGAATTACTTTTTCCTCCAACTGTTTTACACTGTATCCCATTTTTTTTCCTTTTCCTTTTTTTCTTTTAATTCTCCTTTTATTTATTTGGAGTTTATGTAATGTTTTTCTTTTGCGTTGATGTTTGATGTTGTTACTGTTATGTTTGAAAAAAAGCCAAATAAAATTTTTTTTAAAAAAAGAAAAAAGGGAGACAATTCACCCAAAAATACAAATTTGAAAAAAAAACAAAAAACAACCACATAAAAGTAGTCCAGCTGGCTCATGGACTATATCGTATATTACTGAAAAGTATGGAAATTGTAGCAGACAAAGAAAGGAAGGTTATTTTTATTATTATTCATAATTTGTTTCATCTTTGTATGTGTGCAGATCACAGGTCAGGTGCATTGAAGGAAATCGCACATAATCTGGACTACTGTGACATTATGGTGTTGGGGGAGGAGTTAAGGGCGGGGCTAGAGAGTCTGGAACTGCACCACAGCGCTTTATTGGGCAAACACCTGCAATACGCCAACTCTAGCACCGGAATGTCCATATACGGTAAAAACACTAACTCTACAATTTACTTTTGTTACTCCCAATACAACTGTCTCACATCTTTCCTCTTCTGTTTTAGGTGTGGACTCTGTTTGTCACTACACAGAGGTGATCAGACAGGTGCGTTATCAGAGCCGTCAGGCTGTCGACTCCATCCGTACCTTCAGACTCACCTGCTCTGAGCTCAACGGACGTTACACCAGCGATCAGTATATGTTACAGGTGTGAACCAAACAAAGAAATGCACTAACTGAGCCACGGCTCTGATCTATGGCCTAAAGATGCTCTCTATCACTCTTTCTCCAAGGTCAACATCCTTCACAGTGAGGAAGCTATTGAACATGTCAATCATGCGATGGCTCCGCCCAAATACATGCAAATTATTCATCCTACAGTCACAGAATCTAACAGCTACAGCTTAGGTGAGTGAAAGTCATAATGATTGTGTCGGAATGAATTAAGTGTGTCCGTGATTGTTCATTTTGATAAGACAAACATTAGCTGAGGTGATACCAAACATATTTTGATTTATTAATCTTAAAGTTAATATTATTTTATACATTTCTTAAGTTATACACTACCACTCAAAAGTTTGGGGTTGGTAATATTTTTGAAAGAAGTCACTTCAGGCTCCATTTATTTGATCAAAAACACAGTAAAAATATTGTGTAATATTGTGAAATATTATTACAATTTAAAGTACCAATATATTTTAAAATGTAATTTATTCTTGTGATCAAAGCTGAATTTTTTGCATCATTACTCCAGTCTTCAGTGTCATATGATCCTTCAGAAATCATTCTAATATACTGATTTGTTGCTTAAGAAACATTTATCATTATTATCGATGTTGGAAACAGTTTTTTTCTGCTTCATATTTTTTGTGGAAACTGTGATACATTTTTTTTTCAGGATTCTTTGATGAATAGAAAGTTCAAAAGAACAGCATTTCTTTAAAATATAAATCTTTTGTAACATTGTAAATGGTTTGCTGTCATTTTTGATTATTTTAATGCATCTTTTCAGAATAAAGTTATTAATTTCTTAAAATAAAATAAAAATCATACTGACCCCAAATTTTTGAACTGAAGTTTATAAAGTACTGTTAATGTTTTATGAAGGAACAAGAAATAACAATTAACAATAATAAATCTATACATTAAATGCTGTTAATAAAAGTATGTTGTTCATTGTTAGCTCATGATACTTAATGCATTAACTAATGTTAACAAAATGTCGTTCAAACAGTATTTTCAATATATCGTACCATGTAGGGTTGGGAAACACAGAACTGGTTCCAGTTTATAACCAATGCCAGTGTAGTCTGATTTTTGAACAAATTATTCTTTAAAAAAAAAAAAGACTTAAATCAGGTTATGAATCATTTACTGAATCAGTTGGAAGGGTTATTGACTTTGACTTAACCGCTAGTTATTACTTTCATAAACTCAAATGAACCAAAAACTGTAACTATGTTACTTAAGATTCACATTCAATACAGTTTGATTCAGTGAGGCTTCCTTAAAAGTACCAAAAGAATCATTGCAATCATTAAGAAACCAACTGACAAAAAACTCTGTAAAACTAGGCAATTATTTATTACAACATACTAAACAGATGTGACTGTCATCCCTCACAGCTTCAAGTCAAATTATGACATCTACTCTAAAGTCTATAGGTTGGGTGTAAGATTTAGACGCGTTTATTGTCTTTCTGTAGTTGTCCTTGCCGTTGCTACTGCAGTCATTGTGCTGTGTATCGCCGCCCTGCTGGTGGTGCTGCTGAGTGTTTACCTCTTCAACCAACCACAAAACCAAGAGCACATTCACACGCACACGCTGCCAGAGAAACAAGCGGACTGTGACGGATCCTCTCTCTCCATCACCGTCAACCCTCTGGAGGTACGACAAACCGTCTACATGCTCAAGCAACACAAGACACCATAACATAAAGAAGCTGCCGAAATGATGACGCCTGTCAAACTGCCACAGCATGCACGAGTCTCCGTGAAAACGAAAACTTTTCTTTATAGCTGGTAGGACAGAACAGCAGTCACACAATCAGCTAGAGCTGCACCACTGATTTAAACACAGTCGTTTCTAAAAAAAAGAAAAAAAGAAATACTACAGTTGTGTGAGAGATCATTGGCCTAGTTTTGTGCCATGAAGTTGGACATGTCATGTTCCTCAATCAATATCTCTTTTGGTCCAACATCTTTATAAACCACATTGGCTACCAGAAATCGCTTACTCTGCCTTTAAACGTTAAGAATTGGGTATTGGGCAAAGTTAAAATACTCAGAGATTCAATAGTATGGCCACTAAATGTAAATCATTTAAGTGTTAAATGGATAGTTCACCCAAAAATTAAAATTCTGTCATCATTACTCACCCTCATATCGTTCCAAACCTGCATGCCTTCTTTCTCTGAAACACAAAAGACGACATTCTGAAAAACAAAAGTGCAAGTCATACATGAAATGACATTAGAGTGAGTAAATGATGACGGAATTTTTAGTTTTGAGTGACACGGAACTCCATAAACCCTAAAATAACTTGAAATGTTTTTATTTTAAACAGCTTTACACCTCAGATACATGTTTTAACAGAGAACCACTGATTTAAACACAGTCGTTTCTAAAAAAAAGAAAAAAAGAAATACTACAGTTGTGTGAGAGATCATTGGCCTAGTTTTGTGCCATGAAGTTGGACATGTCATGTTCCTCAATCAATATCTCTTTTGGTCCAACATCTTTATAAACCAATCAGATTTGAAGGTTAGTGTTTCAATAACATTTTACCCAGACTATCCTTTCCCTCTCTGGTTTTATAGGTAGTTAAAGGCAGGGTATGTGATTTTTCAAAAACACTTTAGAAAACTGATTCGGGCCGCAAGTCATACATGAAATGACATTAGAGTGAGTAAATGATGACGGAATTTTTAGTTTTGAGTGACACGGAACTCCATAAACCCTAAAATAACTTGAAATGTTTTTATTTTAAACAGCTTTACACCTCAGATACATGTTTTAACAGAATTTAAAATGTGTGTTTTCTAAAATGAAAAGCTTCACATTTCTGCCACTAAAATTGGCCCCATTAAGTGCCTCATTGTAGCTTTGATTTGTGCCTTTTAAAGAAAAGGAGGAATGAGACGAAATTAATTTCTGTAAATTTCCACATTCACATCGCTTCAAAAACTCTGTATGACTTACTTTCTTCCTGAATCTTCACAATTGCAGTGAATTTTCTTGTATATAACTATAAATGATGTCTCCTCCTCAGCACAAAATCCTGTAAAAAATTAAGAAAACACTGCGACAAAGCAGAATTGTAATGTTTAGATAATCAACCAAATTAATATTGAGTATTACAGCTGAACAAGATGTTTAAGTGTTCAATAGTCAAATTTTGAAGCATGTTCACATTGCTCTTTTCCTTCCAATGAAAGCTGTCGAGCTCCCGAAACTGGCAAAAACACCATAAAAGCATAATAAGAGTATTTGTCTAATTTGTTACTTTATTCCAAGTCTTCTGAAGTTGTATGACAGCTTTTTTGTGCTGAACAGGCTGATATTACTTTATTTACTAAAATTACAGCTTGACAGCCATATTCACCATTCATGTTCTTTGTTCGGAAAAGAGCAGCTTGAACTTTCAGCTATAAATATCTTCTTTTGTGTTCCCCGGAAGAAAGTAAGAGTTAGGGCTGCACGATTATGTCCAAAATTATAATTGCAGATAATTCCCTTGAAATTGTAATTACGATTATTAATTACGATGATCACAATTTACATTGAATGATGTTTTGATTAGCTTTATGCCATTGTTTGAAGGGGTAGGTTTAGGGTTAGGTTGGGGTAGACGTTAATAAAACAGAATGTGATAGGTAGCAAATTTAATTTATTCTTATTTAATGGCGAGATTTTGCGTCACTTCCGGCCGTAGCTGTATCCCTTCTATATTTACGACAGTGAATTTCACTCACTTAACTCCAGGGGGCTCTAAAGTCACAAAAAAATGCACAAAAACTACATACAGTTGCTTTATTCTTTTTTTCATTTTTCAATATTTCATTTAAATGACTCTGAAGGAGAGTAACCAGACAAATGGAAAGAATTAGAATATTTCTGTTTGTCACAACAGATTAATTTGGTTCATTCCAGAGCTTTCAGGAGCTTCAGTCAGCAGAAGAAGTAACTGAGGAGGAAGAGGAAGATGACTGCGATATCTCTACTACAGAATCAGACAGCGATGAAGAGGAAACCACCATGTCTCCCTTACATCATCAGACCAGGATGCAATGGGGAACATCAACATTACACTGCTGAAAACACATTCACACGCTCGAAAACACAACGCTCTACCTGTAGCATTCTGTAGTGACCTGCAATACAAGCGAGTTGACATGCAAACACACTTCGAAAGACTTCGAAACAGCTCTGATCCTTTGTTTCTGATCGATACAGTTTTGGTGTGAGATGACAAACTAATAAAAGTCTGTCTTTTCCCTTTACACTCTCCGTCTCCGCTGGAGGACAGAATATGAGACAGTGAAGTCACAGAAGAACCTCGAGCAGCCGCCTGTTCAGGCTTTTGATTAAAGAGAGTTTCTTTTTTGAGGCCTCTACAGCGCATCTTATTTTCTCTCCCCTCACAGATAGCACAGGTACGTCTGCAAGATGTCTGTTGAAGATCGCTTCATCTGGAAAGCATCTGCTGTGAACAAACATCTGATAGACGCCTTTAAGATGTCAGTTTTACATACATTCTAAGATCTTAAAGACATTTTCTAAACGTCTATTTGACATCTGATAGGAAAGGCCTTATAAACGTATTGCAAATGAGCAAACACTCTAAAAAATACGTCTTGCAGATATAAATGCAGACGTCAAATAGACGTCTCCGTGATGTACAGTACACTACCAGTCAAAAGTTTTTAAATGAAAAAAAAGCTTTTGTAACATTACACATTATACCATTCAAAAGCTTGGAGTCGGTATAATTAATTTTTTTTTTATGGGGGGGGGTTAAAAGAAAAGAAATTAATACTTTTATTCAGCAAGGATGCTTTAAATTGATCAAAAGTCATGATAAAGACATTTATGTTAAGATTTCTATTTCAGATGAATGCTAACTAAGAAACCTGAAAAAATACTACTACGCTGTTTTCAACATAATAATCAGAAATGTTTCTCGAGCAGCAAATCAGCATATCAGCATGATTTCTGAAGGATCATGTGACACTGAAGACTGGAGTAATGATGCTGAAAATTACATTACATAAATTACAATATAATTTACATTTTAAAATATATTCAAATAGAAAGCAGTTATTTTAAATAGTAAAAATATTTCACAATATTACTGCTTTTGCTATACTTTGGATCAAATAAATGCAGGCTTGGTGAGCAGAAGAGACTTCTTTAGAAAAAAAAACATTAAAAATCTTACTGTTCAAAAACTTTCGACTGGTAGTACAGATGCTTTCCAGATGAAGTGATCTTTAACAGACATCTTGCAGACGTACGTGTGCCATCTAACGTTTAATGTGAAATAATAATCTCTCATAAACCTGAAAACTGACGTCCTTGAAGAAAAGATTTTTATAAATCCGTACGTGCTCCTTTTTAAGTGTCGTCTTACTCCATCGGTCTCTCTTGTGTGTAACATGCGGTGCATTTGTGTGCGAGTGGTTTTGTAAATGACTTTTCTCTCATAAAGTGCAAATGAATGGTTTATGTGTTTGTACATCTTACCGACTCAATTTGCTCCTTTTTGCGGTCGCTGCTGGACTTTCTCTACATAAGTCAATAAAAACGGTTTTAAGAAATTGGTCACCTAACTAATTTTACTCATAAACGTGGCTGTTAAATGGTTGTTTTACTGGAATTTAACCACAATAAAATCTATTATCGTCGCACTGGCACTGCAGACTGGTGAGACGCCATGAACGCTCACAAACTATATGAGTCACACAACAGCGACATCTAGTGGCGCAACATGTGTAGCACGTTCATATAGTCATTGTGTTCTCATATATTTTAGTAGTCTAATTGTCAGGTTGGGGGCAAGTGTCGTATATAGTTACATTTTAAAGAAAAAAAAGGCCAGTTTTTAGACTGGATGTCCTGTACAGAGCACATTCAGGTCTTTTTAGAGATATCAAATGTTTGAAGGTTTGATCATGAACACTCACCTCCTTGGTCTTTAAATATTTAATTCAATTCAAGTTTATTTGTATAGCGCTTTTCACGATACAAATCGTTGCAAAGCAACTTTACAGCAAATTAAGTTACTACAATATTTAGTGGTAGCTTATCAGTGGTGACTGTCAGTTAATGTACATCTGGCAGAAATGTACGGAAAAATCAATTCAAGACGTAATCAAACAGACGATGAACACTATTAACAACAATTATTATATGATGCAATCAAACATATAGCAAAATGTGGTAGTTCTGTAAGTTGTTTCAGGGTTGGCATCATCTGAGGTCCTCTGAGGGGTTGGCATCACACTCTTCTCAGGTGTTCTGGATCCAGACTGAAGCTTGTGGGGATGTCAATCCCGTGGCAAAAACAGAGAAACAAATAGAGACATAATTAGCGTAGCTGCTGTTCCAACCAAGCAAAATTGATTTGTTTAACCCAAACTAAAGAATAATAACGTGCATTTGATCAGATACAACTGCAGTACAAGATTATGAGATTCATTATTTGAATGCTTGGCCAAAGAGATGTGTCTTTAATCTAGATTTAAACAGAGAGAGTGTGTCTGAACCCCGAACATTATCAGGAAGGCTATTCCAGAGTTTGGGAGCCAAATGCGAAAAAGCTCTACCTCCTTTAGTGGACTTTGCTATCCTAGGTACTACCAAAAGTCCAGAGTTTTGCGACCTTAGAGAGCGTGATGGATTGTAGCGTGGTAGAAGACTAGTTAGGTACGCAGGAGCTAACCCATTAAGGGCCTTATAGGCAAGTAATAATATTTTGTAACTGATACGGAACTTAATAGGTAGCCAGTGCAGAGACTGTAAAATTGGGGTAATATGATCATATTTTCTTGACCTGGTAAGGACTCTAGCCGCTGCATTTTGGACTACCTGTAGCTTGTTTATTGAAGATGCAGGACAACCACCTAGCAGTGCATTACAATAGTCCAGTGAGTCTAGAGGAAAGATTAAGATTATTAAATATGACGGATATTGACAGAATGATCAAATTTAGCACTCTTAGGGAAATATGATAATGTTTTGCTATTATTTAAATCTGGCTCGTTTTCAAATTGTTTGTCATAAACATCTCAGAAAAATGTTATGGGATTTCAAATCAGAATATGGCTTTTTGTTACGAAACGGGGCATAATTTTCATACATGTCTTCTGTAGAGGACACCAGGACAAACATCATGTTAATCAGCCATTTTGGGGAGACAAGAAATTATAGATCAATTTTCCTATGAAATATGAGATATTCTTATGGAAATGTTGCCAAGTTATTACTTGCATTATTACACTTATTTTTTTCATTATGGTTTGCCCCAAGAACATATTAATATGCAAATAAGATGCAATGTATAGAATGAGAATACCAATTTATGGACATTTTACGCACATATTCCATAAAGTACAGTAGTATATCAACTCATTCTGTTATATCTTTCATAACATAGTTGAGAATCATCTTTGTACAAAGTTTGGTTTAAAAATAGCCTCAAACCTGAAAACTGATTGGTGAATGAAAAAAATAAAACACTGTTTTTGCCTATACATGCCTTTTAATGTCAATTTTTTTTTAGAAATTTTTTTTATATATATATAACTTAGTCCTGGTGTCCTCTACAAAGGACATACAATAAAATATCTTTTTTCAAAAATATTTTTCTCCATTTGTTTCTTATGCTCCAACCAATGTAATGACAAAAACAAAAAAATCACACAGCTTTTTTTTCTGGTTCTCAGGAGGATATTATACATTTTTAAATAAAGACATTATAACTGGTCATTCAAACGGTTTCCAACAAGAGTATTTAATAATGATGAGGATGTTGTTGTTGATGATGACGATTATAAAAAAACAAAAAAAACAATGACACATTAAAATACAATTGTGACAAATGTGTGACAACATGCCCCGTTAAAGGGTCAACATTCAAATAACTATCTAATATATTGATGAGACATAGAATGTGTTATTTAAATCAAGTAAAATATAAATTATAAATACATATTTCATATCTATCATATTCAAATATAAAAAAAAAATACTTTGCATAACTAGCTATTTACTGTTCAGCAGTGTTGCTTTTGGTTGTTGTTCTTCAGAAAACCCCAATGATCCATAAACGGAATAATATAAACCCGAAACCCGATTAGAAAGATGTAAATACAACATAAGCAGGTTAGTCAAAACTACTGTGAAAACGCACTTATAAACATGTCGTCACATCAGAATCAAACATTTGATTTTAAAAGCAAGTGAGACTACAGAAGTAAAAGAGAAGCAGACAGCGTTTGGCTTTGGAGTTTTATTTTTATTCACATTTCAAAGGTCACGAATGAACAAAGTCGTGTCTGCTGTCTTGCGGGTTTCTGTTGGATCCGTGAAAAAGACAAGCATCCATTTCATATAAAAATCAAATCTATAAAAAAGTCTGGTTGACAGACGCCGTGGCACATTTCAAAGCCGCGTTTATACGCTAAAAACATCAGAAAACTGATTTAATCAGCTTCGTCATGAACACAAACGAAAGCAAACTCATAAACATGAACAGAAAAAGATTTTAAAAGATCTCAGGCACTGCGCGATGTGTATTAGTTAAAACTGGTGAAAGAATAAGAACCTGTTGTCTGGAATAAAATGCATTAGTTTAATATAATTATGTTGGATTTATGTCCAAGAAAGCTAGGTCCTTAGTGTTTAGATAAAAGTGAAAGAAAAAGCAAAAATCATCAGCTCATAAGAAAATTATTTCCATGGAAGACTTGAGTCATTCTCACACACAAATACAGACACCTTCTCATTCCTCACCTCATAATCATGTATAAAACCAGATACTCGTCGTCCGGCTGCTCAAATCTGTAGCGTCCGTCCCTACGACACAAAGTCTGTGCACAGCACAAAGCTTATACAGCACTGCAGATCATTTCTGAGTGCATTTTCAGTGAACGTAGGTGATTTTTTAGCTGTGTGTATGTGTGTTCGTGTCTCTCATTGGTACTGCAGGTAGTTCTTGAGCGTCTGTGGCAGTGGCAGAGACTGGATGTGATGGATTCGGTGGCGTCCCAGAGCCTGTCGTGCCGCCCTCCTGCACAGCTCCATCAGCGGCAGGGGTTCAGCTACGGGACAGAGCAGAGGTCAGTTAGGGTCCAGGGTCAAAGACCTCAAGCGATCATGTGAAAACACTCATTAGGACTTCAAAGACCAGCAATGATCCTTGATAAGCTGAATGATTCATGATGTTGCAAACGAACGGTTAAACATCTAGTTTAACATCTGTTTAAACTTCAATTTACTTTTTAAATATAGTGTTGAAAATGATGACAAAGCATTGTGAGACATTAGTGGAACTTAAGAACTGACTTTAAACACTACCTGTTGAAAGTTAGGGGTCAGTATGATTATTTAAAAAAAAATAATAATAATACTTTTATTCAGGAAGGATGCATTAAAATTATCAAAAGTGACAGTGAAGGGTTTTATAGTTACAAAAGATTTCTATTTCACATAAATGCTCTTCGTTTGAACAGAAATAAAAGTATCAATTTCCACAAAAATATTAAGAACCAAAAATGGTTTTAAACATTGATCACAATAAGAAAATCAGCATATTAGAATGATTTCTGAAAGATCGTGTGACACTGAAGACTGGAGAAATGATGCTGAAAATTCAGCTTTGATTACAGGAATAAATTACATTTTAAAATATTCAAATAGAATATTTAAAACAGTAATTTTAAATTGTAATTATATTTCATAATTATACAGTTTTTATTGTATTTTTTGGTGAGCATGAGAGACTTTTTTCAAAAACATAAAAAAAATAAAAAAAAAAACAGACCAACCCCAAACATTTCAACAGTAGTGAATACTGGCTTTAGAAAAAAAAGAAAGAAAGAAAGAAATGTGATGTTAGTGAAAAGATCCTGCAACACAGCAAGTGAATTTGATAAAATAGGTGTGACTTGCATATCCAACTATATTTAGATCAACTGTAAGTAGGCTTTTAGGGGAAGAAGAAAAAAAGAATAAAAAGCTACTAAGTGTAGGATACGGCCTTTTAAAACGTTTCTGTAAATTCATGGTCGGTGTTGCAACCATGTAAAACCCCTATTAAATTTTCAGAGAAGTTTGGAAATATGCTTGTGAAAGGAAAGGAAAGGACGTGTGGCCAAGTATGTGGCTCTGCATTTAACCCATCCAAGTGCACACACACAGTTAGTAGTGAACAAACACGCACACACCGTGAACACACACCCGGAGCAGTGGGCAGCCATTCATTCACTCCCCCCACCGACAATCCCTGCCGGACCGGAGACTATTACAGAAAAGCAGTAGAACAACATGTTTTTCCCAGTTACTATGAGTGATTGCGCAATTACTCGCATCATGAAGCAACAGCAAAACTATGAAGAGCATCTCTAAAGAGCTGGATTGAAATCGACATGCACTGCCCATGGATGGCGATGACAGAAAATATGAGAAAAGGAGGAAAAACTAGAAGCAGAACCTGAAAAAGACACGTACGGTCTAATCCGTTGATGTAGGTCATGGTGACCTCGCAGTGACCCCACACGGCGCTGACGATCGGGTACAGCCTCTTCCCCTTCAGCCCGCGAAACGCCACGCCCAGGTAGTTCCCGTCGGCGCAGAATCCCAGCGTCCCCTCGTCCATGTCCAGAACCACCAGAATCTCCTCAGGCACTGAGAACGTCCCTTCGTCCTCCTCGTCCTCGATAAACTCCGGGTACGACGGCGCCGGGCCAGTCCGGCTCTTTCTGTCGTGGTAAAGCCGACCTCGTCCCAAGTCCCAACCCCAGGCTTCGGCATCACCGCCTATTAGGGCGGAATATCCGACGGCTCGCAAGGGAGCCAAAGAAGTCGCGACCCCGACTACGGCATGCGTGCCGCGCTGCCGTACGGGCCAGCGCAAAGTCCAAGCGTGCAAACCGCGGGTAAATCCGACTTTTCCCCGCACACAGTCCGTGCTTTGGGCCACCGGGTGGCGGTGGAACGTGAGCCAGTCGTCTTTGATGAAGAGGTTTAGTGAGCGGTCGTCTGGGTTCCAGGCGTGCTGAAGCTGGATTTCCGGTCCCGCCGGCGGCATGTCCAACAGCAGCTCCAGACGGGCGGGTAACTGGACGCCGCGGCTACGGAGCGACGCACACACCGGCGGATACGCCAGCTCGCTCGTCTCCGGCTCATCCGCGGATTTCACCACACCCGACACCCTCTGCCCCATCACGGCCCAGCCACGGGCATCAATAACCACAGCCGGGGTTACCTCATGAGCAGGACGGACCGGTGAGCGGCAGCCAATCAGAAGAGACGACACGGTCCCATGCACAAGAAGAAGTCCAGAGCGGAGTCGGCAGCACTGTAGAATAAAACAAAAGAGAGTAAGGAAGATTGTTGTGACTTTTAAAGACACAGTGTGTTATATATTGCCGCACTTGAAACTAATCAAACAAACCGCAGACTAGGTGTCAATTTTGAGACACTTGGACTCTCCCTTGAACTCTCACGCACAATGACATCATGATTCCTAACATGTCAATAAACAACATGGAGGAAGGGCTTATTTTTGCTGAGAGAGGCACAAAATTAGAATAAGATAGTGAATATTTAAAGTAATTTCAATCTTCTTTTGAATACAGTATTTTTCAAATATTCACTACTGTTCAAAAGCGTTTAATACTTTTTGAGAAGTTTCTTCTGCTCGCCAAGGCTGTATTTATTTGATCTAAAACACAAAAAATGGTAATATTGTGAAATACTATTACTATTTTAAATACCCGTTTTTTTATTGTAATATATTTTAAAATATAATTTATTTCTGTGATGCAAAGCAGAATTTTCAGCATCATTACTCCAGTCTTCAGTGTCACATGATCTTCAGAAATCATTCTAATATGCTGATTTGCCGCTCAAGAAACATTTCTTCTCATTATGTTGAAAACAGTTGCATTTTTTTCAAAAGAACAACATTAGTTTGAAATAGAAATCTTTTGTAGAAATAATAAATGTCTTTGCCAATATTGATCAATTTAATGCATCCTAGCTATCAGTTATACAATTTATATTATACAAGTTTTATTTTTCAATCAAAAAAAAAAAGAGAGAGAAGCTTACCGAGTTAACTCAGTAAGGGTTATGGCATTAAACTTGAACAGATAAATGTACTAATATATATATATATATATATATATATATATATGAT